ATATTCTAGCATGCCAGTCTCATAATGCATTTGTGATCGGAGAGTAAGAAGGCCTTCAGAGTCTCACCTCTGGTAGGGTCTGGCTGGCCTATAATTGAATTGGACCGCCACGAACTAGGGAAATGACAAGCAGGGGTTGCTCGAGGTACGATGACGCGCCGAGGTGTACGACGATTGCGGTTGTGTGCGAGTGAAATCTTACCTCTGTCGCTTCTGCGATGACGATATAGCACAACATCCATGTCGATAGTTAAGATTCGCTGGCACTACTGACCTAAAACAACGGAGATGAAGGATTGTGGACAGATTTAAAGATTTGAGATTCGAATCTGGCGAACACTGGCGAACCTGGAGGGTGCAGCGAAGGCGTTAGTGGAAGAAGAGAGCGGAAGGCGCTAAACGCTGGGGATGATGTCGATTCTCACTTCGCTAAAACCAAGTGAGGGCTTCTCAAAATTCAAAACTGTTCGAAATTTAAAACCGAATACAAAGAGGGGAGGGCCGAGAAGAAAGACACATAGCGAAATAAAAGCAAAAGAAATAAATGAACTAGAACATCGCATGCAATATTTCTAAATAAATGAACTTGTGTGAACTGACGTATTGGCTGAGATAATAACCAATAGCCCTGCAGTGAAAGCAGTAAGAGTTCTTTACTCTGGAAAAATGCCATGGTCTTCGTTCATCTAAGATCCCATGAATAATACACTCTTTCAATCAAAAGTATTTTCAGTCTCCTTGAAACACCGGCTGGATACGGTCATGTAAGGTAGTTAAAATCCAATCACAGCAGACGCTCCCTTCATGAATTCGCGTGATAAGACCCACCAAGTTTACTAATATAGTCCTCAGCCCTCTACTTAAACGGTTTAATTACTAGTTGTACGCCAACACTTGCTAAACTCATTACCGCTATAACTTGAGACAATAATTAACGTTGTGAACCCTTAAGCGGGATGCAGTAATACAATAACCCAGACCTTCGCTAATATGCATTACAAAATACACCAATAATGACCACCTACTTTGCTTACTTATTGGCATGGTGTACTGGCCGGATATTCACCAAGATCTGCGTAATTATATGCAAAGTCTATTTTGATGGCTTCGTTTATTAATAAATGTGTAATTAATCGTCAATCAATTGATATAACGTGAAATACAATTTCGCTTGCTTTATTGTGAGATGATTTGGAAGATAATTACCATATTCTGGAAAAGGATTTTGTATACTCTTGCTTGCATATTGCAGTCCGTTCTGATTAATGCTAAATTCCTTCGATAATCACAAGATTCACGACTTTATTTGCAGCCTATCGATGTTCGCAGTAGGAAGCATTGATTTCAGGAGGAGGAAAGCAAAAATGTTATATGACCTACTAAGCAACGTTTAATGTGTACTTGTCTGCAAGGAAGCGTGCGATTAACTCGTTGAAAGTCAGGTATAGAAGGGTTTCCACAGTATTAGGCGCTGTTGCAACTGCCAAGGCTTCTTACAGCTCTCTCAGGAACCCTAAACACCACACATCTCCATGGTGTCTTTAGAGTTACACCACCCGTATTTGTTTAGTGTTTTTTCGTGGGTTTTGTTTTCACTGCTCTTTAAAATTCTGGTATTATTATTATTGTTGGTGTTATTACTTTTTTCATTATGGATGTTATTAGTCGTATAAGTTATACGATGCTTTCTTGAATTAGTGTTTTGTTATGGTCTGTTTGTTCAGCATTGTTATTGTTATCCTCTTCATCATTGCCATTAACATAATCATATTCATTATCATTATCATCCTCATCAATATCATTATCATCATCCTCATTATCATTAACATTATCACAATCAACATGAACACCATCACAATCATTATCATCATCATCATTATTACCACCATTATTATCAGCAACAGCAACATCAAAATCATCATCATCATCATCATCATCATCATCACCACCACCATTATCATCATTATCATTACTATGATTGTTAGCAACAACAATTGTAACAACGAGATAGCAACATAAAAGTAAAGGTAGTGAAAGTCGGATCAATTTGATTAGTGCTAATTTTTTGTTACTGTTCTAAGGTAATTAAATATATGACTTACCCAAATACAGTCATAAACGTACACAGTCGCATACGCGGAGGTACACGAACACACACACACACACACACACACACACACACACACACACACCACACACACACACACACACACACACACACACACACACACACAACACACGTCACACGAACAAACGCAAACGTACACACACACACACAAACGCAGTCACACAACAAACACACACAACACACACACACACACACACACACACACACACACACACACACACACACACACACACACACACACACACACACACACACACACACACATGCACTGAAAATCAACGTAATCTCAATGGTCGTGAAAATGAGAACGTAAATGATAATGATATTACTGATTACTATGATTACGGTATGTCAATAACGATATAATAAAAGTATCAATAATAGTAAAGTAAGTATTGATAAGAGCAACACAAATAAAGATGATAAAAATAAACAGACAATGATAATAGCAGTTATGAGGATAATAAAATGAGAAAATAGAAGTATTGGCAAAGGAGTAATAATGGTGAATATTATATTAAAGCCAGTGCTAATGATATGGATACAGAAAAATCAGTAATCGTAATAATGAAATTGATTACAATATCTTTAATGATAGTAATAATAATGATAACAATGATGATAGCAATCATTATGATGATAATATTGCTGGTGCTGATAACAATAATGATAATGATGATAAAAATAATAGTAACAACAATGAAAATAGTAATAACAACAACAATAATAATAACGATAATAAGAATGATTTGCATAATGATAATGATAAATATAATAAAAATGATAGCAATAATAATGATAATCATAATCATAATAATGATAATTGTAAAAATTAGAGTAACAATATTGATGATTGCAGGTATACTGATAATAATAAAATGATGATTACGTTAAAGAAGTGACAATAAAGTTATTAATGAAAGTAATGATTATAATGATCATATTAAGAACCATGATTATAAATATTTTTGTTTTCATTATCATTATTATTATTACTATCATCATTATTATCACCCTTCCTATTAATATTCAAATTTTCATTATCATTATTATTGTTGTTACAATATTGTTATTATAATAATTATTATTGTTACGATACTGCGGTCATCAAAATTATTATTATCATTAATTTTGCTATTATTATTGTTTTTATTGTCATTGATTTATTACTATTATCATAATCATATTCTCATTTTTATTATTATTTGTTATCATCATTATTATTATTTTTGTTATTATAATCCATATATGTGTTATCGTCATCATTCTCTTCATC